ATGAGCAACAAGCAGAAAGAGAGTCGCCAAAGGCGGAACCGCTTGGAGTTGGAGAGATTTCTGCCGACATGTTCCCAGCCGTCCCTGGATCTAAGTTCGTCAAAGCAGCTTACGAGGAAAAACCTGAAACAGAAACAGAGATCAAGGATCGTCTGTCACCGGATGAGGAAGCACAGCCACATATCATTGAGTCAAAGGACTACGATATCGAGGAACATGAGAAACCGCTCTCTTCACCAAAAAAAGTGGAGCGCTCACCTTCCCTCAGCATCGAGCCCAGAGTCCCTGGCGAAGAAGATTTTGTCAGTTCAGAGATCTATCCAGACATGGAAGAGGATCATCATAAACTGCTCCATGGCAAAACTGGGGAAGGTGAACAACATATTATCGAATCGGAAGACTTTGACAAGGACGAACAACGCTCGCTCTCTTCTCCCACAAGAATGGAAATGTCTTCTTCAGCTGAGGTCCATCACCTGGGAGAACACAACGAGGATCTAATTACCACCAAAGATTCTCAAATAGCCTTGACGGGAAAGCATGGCGTTTACATTCCACAAGGTGGAGAAAGTGATTCACATGTCATCGAATCGGAAGACTTCATTTCGCAGAAGGAGCGGTCGCTTTCACCTACAAAATTAGGACTAGCTTCTTCCGCTCTCTACTTCCCAGAAACTCAAACTGAGGACATGGCCGCCATCAAGGATTCCCCAATTTCCTTGACAGAAGAGCGTGGAGTTTACACCCCACAAGCTGGAGAAGGGGATTCACATGTTATCGAATCGGAAGACTTTGCCGAGGATGAGCAAGGAACCCTTTCTTCCCCCACGAGAATGGAACTGCCTACTTCGGCTGCCCTCTACCCAGAAAGTCATATCAAAGATATGACTACAGTCAGGGATGCCCCAATAACGTTGACCGAAGTGCATGACGTTTACGCTCTAGGTGGAGAAGCTGACTCACATGTCATCGAATCAGAAGACTTTGTGGAGCAGAAAGAGAGGTCACTCTCACCCACAAGAGTAGGACCGCCTTCTTCCACTGAGATCCAACATCCAGAAAGTCACATTGAGGATATTACTACCACTCGAGATTCCTCACTGATATTAACAGGAAAACAGGCAGTTTATACTCCACAAGCTGGAGAGTCTCAGCCGCATGTTACTGAAGAAGAGGAAATGCCACTCTCATCACCCACAAGAACGGAACCACAGAGTAGTGAAACCGATGAAAAGACAAAAATGAAAGAGCCACCAAGTAAATTGAGCGAATCCGATAGACTGACACACGTCGTCGATTCAGCAGACTATGACTTGGCGCAGGAAAAGCGACATCTTTCCAGTGACATCGCCACGGATGCCGAGCATCCCGCAGACCACCATTCGCCCACACAGCCATCTCTTCATGTGCTACAAGAAGAAGCTTTGGGAAACGTTTTCAAAATGAGATTCTCAGACACAGCAGAGTTGGAGTCACCCGAACAGCAATCAGCACATACGCCATCATCGTATCCCGATGAGCAACATTCGATTGCTGGTGATGACGAATGGAAGGTCTACGACAGTAAAGGTGAAGTTGTTGAAGAATTCTCTACTCAGCTGACAGAAGAGTTGATACAAGAAGCAGAAACAAATGCAAGTGTGCGGAGTGAGCAGTCCCCCCGAAAGTTTGTGAAGCAAGAGTCTTCTGAAGTGACGATGGAACCAGAAGTTGACTACCATTCAGATCTTCAGGAAAAATTGGATATCCTAGCTGAAGAGCGACGAGAAAAGTTGTTTTCAGTGCAAGAAGAAGAAGATCAGCTAGAAGTTATTGATGAGACAGATTACGAACAAGAAGCTCATCAAGACCATGAGATTGAACAAGCTGCACTTCGCCTTGTAGACGAAGCAATCACTGCTGCTATGGAAGCACATGAGGAAGCGAAAACGCATACATCAACATCCGGGTCAAATGTTTATCAAACGGCGACGGAACATTCCAAAGACGAACAATATGATACCTGTGTAACTTCGCAAGATACCTACGACTCGGCTCAGGAATGGGCGTCGCAGGAGTCTGAATACACAACAGCGGCAAGTGGAGCCACTAGTAGATTGAGCGAAGCCGAAGAAAGACAAGGAAGTGTCACCCCGCTAGCAATATTGTCTCCTGTAGACTCGGACCGGCATTTCACCGCAAATCAAGATTTCGAAGAAACAGTACCTGTGATAAGGCACTTCATGGTGGACGACACCGCAAGATCAACGCCTGATGTTCCACTTCAAGTGACTATTGAAGAGGAAGAGGAAGAATCGGAAGCCACTTTGCCTACCAGCCCCAGTGGCGTTCTGTTACCTCCACGAGTAGATCCGGGTCGTCCAGTCTCTCCAGTTCCACCCACCCGTCAAACAGATGATGATGATGACGAAGATTACTTTGTTTTTGTTGAAAAACCCCAGGACAAAGTTTCTTCCAAATCAGAAGCAGAAAAGTTGCTGGAAAGACGATCTACGGAAGCGGAATCCACAAGTGATAGCCATGAAAAGTCGTATTCTCGCCAACTTTCCGATATATCATCTAGCAGTTACGCGGACACGGTAATTCATCACGGAAAGGGGGACATGGAGTCGGTGGCAGATGTTGAAGACATTTCCACTTATGAGCATGCAGGCTCCCCTGGGTTGGCAGAGGAGTCTTTAAAAACTAGTCCTGAAGAGAAAAGGTAAGTTGTCAAGTTTACACGGTGAGCTCCTAGTATTTTGTTTGCTTCAGAGATACTGCGTCTCAAAGATCTGAAGTGTCACCTATAAAAGTTGGCGAAGAATCTGACGAAAGACTGGAAAAAGACCAAACAATGGAATCACCTTCTTCTGACAGTTCAGCTAGAGAAAGAACGAGTGACAATGAAGAAGGTTTTGTGATCTGCTCACCGATTGACGACGCTCCTATGGAAGGTGAATTAGAAACGGTGGAGGAAGAACCTGAGGATGTCGAGTCAATCAACGGCAGTGGAAATTCATCTGTTGGTGTACCGTCGGACACTTTAGCGCTGGTTGGAAAGTACAAGCATGTGTCAAGTGACAACGTGTCTCTTACCAGCCTCCAAGAGTTCGAACGGCTTGAGCAGATGGTCCTAAACCATGGAGAGGGCAGTCTTAGCGCCAGTGAGATCGAGCTCTATGCAGCTGGTAAACTGCGTTGCACTGGCTCCAATGGATCAGGCGAGGGTTCGGTCAGCTCACTGGCTGAATTTGAGAAACTGGAACAAGAGCTTACTGCGAATATTTCACCTCAAGAAGAAGTCGCGATGCTTCCCGAAATCCGGGAGGAGTCGGAGGTGGAAGACATGAGCGTTCGAGACGACGATGAAGAAGAGCATTCGGTAAGCTCATATGGAGTTTCGAACAAGATAGAAAACCTTATCGTATCAAAACACTGTAGTTATCATAGAAATAACTTCTTTCCATTTTCAGGAAACAGAAGTGAAGACAAGACCAATTGATGAAGAAGATCTACGAAGTGCGACACCAATTGCGTCGCCAGTGGATTCGCTTGAACGCGAACCTATCGTATCCACAATTCCTCTTCTCGAAACTAGTACTGACTCGCTAGAGCCGTCCTATGAACGAGTAGAAGAAGCGCATCCTCAACGGGATAGCGAAGTGTCATCTCTGGCTGAATATGAGGTGAGTCGAGTGTTCAGATTTGAGGCTTTTCTAAAGAGCCAGCTCAACAGTAACATACTGCCCACGACTGTTTTGTCGCGTCATCGCAATATAACAACTCTAACAAATGCTGTTTTTCTTTTTATTTTATAATCTGTTACTTCCTAAACAAACGTGGTGGCATAGGCCTCAGTCGAAATGATAGGTCTCTAGTTCCCGCAATGAATCAGAATTGTGGAGCAAGCGATACGCGAAAGAATGTTTTGAGAAAAGACTTGTGAAGGCTACTCCTGGTCGAAGGTGCAAAAGCGATTTTAGTTAAGTGTGCGCGAATGCGGAGCGCGCGCATAATCACCCTTGAAGGTAGTGTCCAGGCAAAAAGTCGATTTTGATTTTTGTGCTTACCCGCGCCTATTCGTGCTGAATCCATTCTTACTGGAGAGTGTGAAAACGGGAAAAACGGCTCTAACGCTGAAGGGAAGTCAGCAGGTGGGAGGGGTCTTCCACGTTAATTAATGCTCCCAACTTTGAGAAATTCTCGATTCCTCTGTCCGCCGTCACATCGCCACCGGCCAAATGCGAATGAGTGAATTGAAATCCGAACCGAGAAGATCGGGAGAAAGTATAACTTCATGGGTGTGGAAGACTCCGCCTACCTGCTAATTTTTCTCCTGCTTAGAATCCTTTTTCGCCGTTTTCGTGCTTTCCAGTGTGGATTTTCG